AAAATTAAAATAATGAAGATGATAATATCTATGATTAACACCCTCCACAATAAAAATGATTAATCAACCTCTCATAATTACAAAAAAAATGAACAAAATGAAAAATTATGATTGGTTGAATGCGGTTTGCACGGTTTGTACAAATTGAGTGGTTTGCATTTGATCGTTCCCCTATATATATATATATATAACATTATATATATATATAACATTATATATATATATAACATTATATATATATATAACATTATATATATATATATAGAGAGAGAGAGAGAGAGAGAGAGATAGTGAGAAGATTAACTTTGCAAACCACGTTATTTATACAAACTGTATAAACCTCATTCAACCAATCATAATTTTTTATTTTGTTCATTTTTTTTTGTAATTATGAGAGGTTGATTAACAATTTCTATTGTGAAAAGTGTTAACCATGGATATTATCATCTTCATTATATTGATTTTAAAGAAATACATCAAACAGTTTTATTAAAAATCTATAAGTATTATATGAAACAATTTCATAACTATATATGAAACAACTTCATCAAAAAAAGTATTATATGAAACAATTTCATAAGATTAAACAATTTCATGCAAAAATTTCATAAGATTAAACAATGAAATCGATGGATGATGGTGGTTTGCACGGTTTGTACAAATATGGATGGTTTGTATTTGATCGTTCATCTCTCTCTCTCTCTCTCTATATATATATATATATATATATATATATAGGTTATTATACAACCCTTGACATTTGTGCAACCAATACAACTCAATCTCAATCGTCCATTTCATTTGATTAATATGTGATTTCATAGAAGTTTTGATTGTTTTCTTAGAAGTTTTGATTGTTTTCTAATATAAAGTATTGATCATAATTAATGAACCATATTCATCTTCCATAAATATTCAAATTATAATAAATGAACTCTCATTATTTCTATAAATATATCAATTTATTGGGTTGCATTGGTTGTACAAATGCGATAGGTTGCATTTGAAACAAACTCTCTCTCTCTCTCTCTCTATATATATATATATATATATATATATATAAACCTAATCAAATGAGAACTGTTTTATTTGTGGTAACTGTGAAATGCAATCTCAACTATAAATCAATGGTTAAATTAGAAAATTCATAATTTTGATAATTTTAACATACAATATTAATTAAGGGTATTTTAGGGATTATATAAATATCATCTCTCATCTCTCCTCTTTCCTCTCTCTGGCGAATCTTATTCGGCGAACCTTATTCTGATGAACCTTATGTGAACACAAGATACACACTGTAATACATATAAACAATATTTATCGTGATACCCAGATGTACATACAAGATGCACAATATGAAACCCTTTGTAAAATAATGAAAATAATGAAAATGTACACTATGATCCATTTCATAAAACAAAGAAAATACATTGTGATATACATGAAATATTGTTAACGTTATCACTATGATACATTTCGATTCACAGTCGTCTTTAAAATACGATATATATTACGTAATTGATATACTAAGTAACTAATTTTAATTAAATATTTACTTCTAAAAAAATTAATTAAATATTTTGATTAGTTGCCAAAAATAAAATTACTATATTACCCCCTTTAACTTATTTAAGAAATACCTTTAAATATCTCCAACGAATGGTTCATATTGAATCTCACGATTAGCACAAACTAATTTGTTTTATATATATATATATATATAATTAGCTTACCAACAAAACCAATAAAATTTTAACAAGAGTGATGGATTCAACCCAATAAGACACATTTTACTATTAAGGGTTGCTCCCTCAACTAATTTTGTTGCATTGTTGCTACCAATAAAGCCTCTGCCTCAATCTCATCATCGGATTTACAATATCCACATTTTTCATCCACAAAAGAAATAAATATACAACAAATCAGATATTATACTATATATACTATCACATGTAATACTAAATCAGATATATAAACGAACTTTGGCTCGACCTAGATCGTGGGCCACGTCTTCCGCACATCACCACGTTCCCTTATGTGTACCAACACATGTGAGAAAGGTGTTTTCACATTTTCGTAAAACCGAGATGTTCAATACATTTATCTATATATACAAGGGCGAGTTCAAATGAAAACCGTTTTTCAGTTGTGAACCAGGGGATAAAAGAGAGAGAAAGAGCAACACGTGTCTTACACCTTCACGGATTATTCATCACGAATAATTTAAATGAAAGTCTTTCGTTATTCATACTGAATGTGGACATCAAAAACACACGTTGGAAGTTTGGGTGTGGATATGATGATTAAAGGGAAATAAAGAGCAGAATCTTTTGGCAAAGTGGGTAAGTTATTTCTAACAGTAGATAAAAACGTCCAGACCCAAACTTACCCGAAACTAATTACTGAAAAAACACTCCTTTACTTCTCTTTCTCACCCCCACGAGTGTCTGCAGTGACTCTGATGATTTGTGACTTTGTCTTTTGAATCTCATCTCCCCATTTCCAAGATTTCTTTAATTTCTTTGCTTCCCCAACATCACGTTTTCATTTCTTCTACCACTGCATCTCTCTCTCTCTAGAAACTGTTCTAACCATCATCATCATCATCTTGATCATCTTTGTTGTTGTTCTTTTTGTTTCATCATCATCATCATTATCAATGGGCATGGTTTTTGCAGACTCTTTTGGTTCTTTGTCAATCAACAATGATAACTCTTCCAAGATCAACGATCATTTCATCTATGGCGGCCATCTTTTAACTACTACTACTTCTTCATCATCCTCACAACCATCTTCATCTTCTCTTTCTTCTTCTTCTTCTCTAGATTTCCCTTTTCTGATCCCTACCACAACTAGTACTCATTCTACTTCGACAAACTTCAATGAAGATGATCAAGATCATGAACATGATGATGATGAGGAGGAGGAGGAGGAGGAGAGAGAAGAAGAAGAAGAAGAAGATATTGACCTAAATCTTAGTGGCAGTTACTCTTTAAATGGTAACATTGACAGCCATCATCATCATCATCATAATGGTAAAACAAGACCAGGTGGCAGTGGGCAGTCAAAGACAAGTGCAAGAGGCCATTGGAGACCAGCTGAAGATGTTAAGCTTAAAGAGCTTGTTGCCCTTTATGGTCCTCAGAACTGGAACCTTATTGCTGAGAAACTTGAAGGCAGATCAGGTACACCGCTTGATTTTCTTGCATTTTTCTAGTGAAAACAAGAAAGTAGCACATAGTTAGTGTGTGTTTTTGTGTGTGTGTAGTTTGTTACACAAAAAGGTAAAAGATTTGTGGGTGTTTGAGCATTCCTCACTGCTTTATGTTTCCTTAATAAGAAAGAAAAAAAAAGAAAAAAAAGGTGGGGATTGGAGCCTATATATGTTTCTTTTCCCATGAACAGATATCAGAAAAACTAGGTTATGGCTTAGTGGTTGAAGCCCTCGAAATACCATTGAATATCTCATTTGTCCAGGGTTCGAATCCAAGCATACACACCGACTCAGTTTATCAGGGCTGATTTGTTGCAGTCGTTTGTCGCAATCAGTTGACATTAGTGAACGTATATGAACTAGTTCTTCTACTCATTTTATTTTTCTTGGTTCTTTTCTTTCAAAATCTTTGTGGGTTTTCTTTAATTTCTTGGTGATCAAAAGGGTTGTTGTTTGGGTTCATTTTTGATGTGGGTATTTTTGAAAAAAACCAAAAGGGAAGAGTTGCAGGTTGAGATGGTTTAATCAATTAGATCCAAGAATCAACAGAAGGGCGTTCAGTGAAGAAGAAGAAGAAAGACTAATGACAGCTCACAGACTGTATGGAAACAAATGGGCATTAATGGCAAGGCTTTTTCCAGGAAGAACTGACAATGCTGTCAAGAACCATTGGCATGTTATCATGGCTAGAAAATATAGAGAGCAATCTAATGCCTATAGAAGAAGAAAGGTGATCATCAGTCAGAGTCAAAGTCAAACATCAACTGCAACTCCACCACCACTACCACCACCACCACCGCCGCCGCCGGTCTCAGCCACTGTTCCTATAACTCACAATGGATGCATCCACCAACTGCCACCGTTTGGTGTCATTTCTGGTCAGTTGTTCTCTTTTTTTTCTTCGTGCTCAGGTGCAGCTACTAGCCAGCTGCATTTGGGCTTTTTTATTTCCTCATAAATTGCTATTTGGTCATTGAATTTTGCATTATTACGCTTACTCCCCTCGTAGTAAACTCCAAGGGAATTGAATGACCATTGGTCGTACACAAGTTATAAACTTTTTTATTTTATTTTAGGGTATTGTTTTATGTCGGAATCAAGTCAATTCATGTATTAAAAATGTAAAATACAGATGTTTTGATAGATGTTCACGTGTGTGAGAAAGAAATTTATAGATATTCTAACAAGTTTTTTAGAGTTCTTTTATACGACATTATTTGTGAAAGTGTCAAGTGTCTTGTAAATACAAGTGTTTTGTGAAAAGATGGTTATCAGATGATTCTCAATAATGTCCTCCTATAAAGTAGTTACTTGGACACTTTATTTTATAAGTGTCCTAAAAACTTGTTAAAACGTCTAAAAGTGTCATATAGGGGTGCATTTAATTAACAATAAGAGGTTTATAGAATAATCCATATAAACTCCCACATTTTATTTAGCAACATCTATTGTTATTTATTAATTAAAGACGTTAGAACATATCTAACTATACGGTAACAACGTCATTTGGTTGGGTGTGGAAACTCCAACCATAAGGCAAAAAGAACGGTATTTTGTCAAAGTTTGACAAAGTGCATTGTTATTGTTCAAACGGCATAGATGGAGCAATTTTTGGTGCTAGGGTTAGAAATGGCCTCAAACCCTAGTTCTTTTTTTGTTGACCATAGGTATCCGGACCCGCTTACCTGCGCTTCGACTGATCCCGACCTTGGAGAATAGTCGGAAAATTCGGTGAACTCTAAAGAGGATTCCAAAAACCCAAACACTTGTCCATCCACCATTATGTGATGTAATTTGCAGACAAAATTGCATGATAAACCCTAGTTTCTTTCTTTGATACCTGTCACCCTCCATTAATGGACTCATTGTGCTTTAATTAACGTTTACTTCTTTTTTTCACCATTTTTATATACAAATTGTTTTGCAGGTCCCAAGAACAACAGTGAATTGATGATGGGCATGTTTAACAGCACCAACAACCATCACAACATACCTTGGGAAAACCATTCATCATCGTCATCATCATCAAACACATCTTGGATGATGGATGCAACTACTACTACTAACCCCATCAACAACTTCCATCATCATCACCATGCTCTACATCCTCCATTGATGACTGCTGCTATGAACCATCAGTACTACCACCACCATCTTTACAACAACAGCACCACCACCACCAGTAGCTCCTCCAGCTACTCATCAATTGCAGCAACAGCAGCAGCACCACCACCACCACCACCAGAAGTTAATAACAACCTTTCACCACCATTTATAGACTTTCTTGGAGTAGGAGCCATATGAAGAAGCTACATTTAGCCTGAGTGTTTGAAAGCTTAATTAAATGCAAGTAAAATCTGATCAGTTTTTTGCACATCACCCACTAAAATCTGCAGAGGATCTCAAATGCTGACTGTTTTTAATGAGTTATTGGACATTTATAGGAAAAAATTTGCAAAAAGATGATGTAGGACTTGTACTGGTTTTATTAATGTAAGCTTGGGTGAAACTATAAATCAATCTGCCACAATTTATTGCTCCCATTTTAACATTTCTATTACTATTACTATTACTTGATCATAATCTAGAGAGAGACTTTGTGTATAAAAATTGAGTAACATCCTGATAACTGTTTATCTATACGATATTTATATGTGCGTACAGGTAATTTAATATGTTTCCTAGTTTTTATAAACATATGTATATTGGAAAAATTACTTACAAATTATTTATATTCACATGTGCTTAGCGTGTATTTTAATTAAGAGATACATCTTTGAATTTTTTTTGGTTTTCTACATAAAGCTCTGCTAACCTTACTGAATAATCACTTTCTATATCATTAAGACGCTATCAAATAGTCATATATACGTGATCATATAAGCTATGAATCTTAATATCCTCATTAAACTGCTAACAAACAATCGTTACTAAAAGTTGTGATTTCAATAGGTAGAAGGTCATGTGCCCAAGTTCTAACATGTTTTCAACTTGGTTGCAATTTCAATTATTCCCCATTTAGATCTTATGGATTATAATCAATCTCAATATTTATTTATTAAAAAACATTGTGATCTCCAACATTTAGGTTTTGGTTGTCTCATTTTTGGGCACATCATGTTTTTAAAGCTTTAATGCTTTATGTTGATCTATGGATCTTTATAAAAAAATAGTTATACAAAAAAAACAACCTTTTTCTTGGTTTTGAAACCGACATTTTAATGCTCCAAGGTCCAAAAAATATATTTATATAACGTAAAATGTCATTGGGTAAACGTTTATCTGATGAGCAAAGCAAGTACCAAGAAACTTATCTAGCAAAAGACATGACAACAACTGAGATTCTTATCAGGTAAACGAGGGAGAAGACTCGTACCCAATAAGGGTTTACAGGGTGAGAGATGCTTACAAATATTCCATTTTGATTCCTGAGAATGTTTCATACAAGGTAAATAAGAATGGTGAATCTTGTTGGTAAGCGCTTACCTGTAATAATAGTGAATCTCTTCTTTTACATATGTAATAATTCGTGGGAATTTACAAGTGGATTTTCATGTCTTGTTTCATATAGACAACATATGTGAAAATGCATTGTTTATATTAGTGTTTCATATGTGAGACATTCATTACTGTTTTTTTTCCACACATGAAACAGTCTTGAACATTTCACGTATTAAACAACATTATATAAACACTATATTTTCATACTTTTTTTTGTAAGGGTGTCCGGGCCAAAACCCGACTAATCCCCGGCAAATTTAGAGGCTAAACATGACCCCACTTAAATGTCGCCAACACTCCCCTCCCAGGGCTCGAACTTGGGTTTATGACTATGCCATGCCCAAACCTTTACCACTAGGCTGGAAGGTCTTTGACTATATTTTCATACTTGTTTTTCATATGTGAAACAACATATGAAAACTTGTATGTATCTTTTTATGATTTAGTATGTTTGCAAATAATTATACATCCATTTATATATTACCAACTGCATGACAAAACAAACGCCTACACGATTCCAATAAGCAAATATGTTAAGTCACCCCGTCCCAAAATAAATGTAAAAAACGCACACAGTTTTAGAAATACATTATTATTGCACTTAATAATTAACAAAAAAAAATTTATCCTTAATTATAGAGATAGAAATATCCTCCATATCATTATTAAGGGTAAAAGTAAATACTTTTCAAATTAAACATTTATTTTAATACAAATTAAAATAACAATATAAACACTTATTTTGAGACAAATAAATTATCAGTTGACCTAATTCCATAAAATTAAAAACAATACACAACAAATAAAAAAAATTAAAAATAAGTAAACAAAAAATTATTAAAATAGAAACCCCCAAGAGATATTATGTAGGGAAAATCATCAAAATGACCAAAATATACCCGATATATTAACGAAATAACCATTTTTCATCAAAAATATACCCACGAATCTCCCCCCATGGGTATATTTTTGCAATTTTAATGAAAAAAGATTATTTCGTTAATAATATGGGGTATATTTTGGTTATTTTAGTGATTTTTCCTGTTATGTATTCACCATGTGACATAAATATTCAACAGAATTACTGCTCAATAATATATATATATATATATATATATATATATATATATAGAAAGTTATGGAAATTTGTAAGTTATACCTAATTTGGGTGAAAGAGAATGGTTGTCTGGTCCTTTGAAGAGGGTTCATGTTTATTACCAGGGTGTTGACTGCCCCACCCTACTTCTTTTGTTTACCTTTTTCCTTCCCAATTTTTGCACCTACTTCAATATTTATATTCCATTTCTAACCTTAAAACCCATATAATATTTATATCAAGTATTTTTGGAAGCTTTTTGTTTAAATTTATCTATTTTGATGTATTTTATTTTATTACAAAGCATTATAAGTAATTTATTATTCGTCAATTATTTTTAAAACCAAAAAACGATTTCGTAAAATGTAATTAATTATATATAGTTACTAATTAGATGGTCATTAAATGGTTAATTGGATTTGATCGGTTCAGTTTTATTGGATTATGAACTATCGTCCAAAAACCTATCTGATCCAATTACAATTGCACAGAATCAATAGTGGTCAACAAGCAGGAAAACATGATTAGCAATCAACTGGTTTATTTGTACATGGCTATATACAACCACCAAACTCATGACAAAACCGCCCGTTTGCATTCTTGATCGATGGGTATGTATTGGAAAGAACTCGAAGTCATTGACATTGAAGCTTGTTCAATGTTCATAGCCATGAAGTCTCCTGGAAGTTGACTGATCTTGACATTGCTGCAGGGTTGGCTCTCAAATTCACCATAGCTTTCTTGCCAACTCCAGTTTCAAACAGATGATCACCATGATTAACTTTGAAGATTCTTTGAGTTGGAAGTTCTTTTCTGTTCGAAGAAGCTTCTTTGTTAGAAATGGGAGTTTTAGAGTCATTGATGATGGCTAATGATGTTGATGGAGTCATTGAATCCTCTGCTGCACTTGGATAGTATGAGCAACTGGCTTCAAAATGATGATTTCTGAAATGATGATTGTAATCACTAAGGAATATATTATATATGCAGCAAGAAAGATATTGTTTCTATAGAGGGAAAGTTGTAAGATCCCGCATCAACTGGATACCTCCTCTATCATACGCGTTTTAAAACCGTATCTGGTACAATTAGCATGGTGATGTTTTAAAAGCTAATGAAGAATGGTTTTTTTTTTATCATTTATGCCTTAAAGGTAAAGCCAATTATCTCTTCTCAGGTTCAAATCTAAGCATGGGGGTTCACCGGTGATTCCAGACCATTTGTGGTAGCAGCATGGGGATTAGTCAGTGTGCATAAGTTACCCCGGATAATTAACCAGTTGGATTATGCAAGATATCCTACTTTTTTCATTTTTGAAGGCTAAAAACAGAGTAAATGATATCAAAACATTAAAATCATACAAAAACTATATAAGAAAACCATGAGGAACATCAAAATCATAAGAGAAAGATCAGTTTTAGCATGTTTAGTCCTATGATTCCATGAGATTTATCTGGTTTTTCTTTTTAGCATGTTTAGTGGCGTAAATCTTGACATCAAATCAACTTTCAAGAAGATGAATGACCAAGTGACCATTTAAGCCTTCTGAGTTCTGACCCCCATCAATTCCTAACATCTTTCATCCAAACCATTTGTAGGAATCATATTTTAGAATCATACAATTCGAACCTGAATTTAAACAAATCCTGTACAATATTTGAATAAATTTACGAGAATAGCAAGAACAAGTTAGGAGGGGCAGTTTGATTGGTTTTCTATTAGATCTTAGATGCATAAAGCTGTCTGCATGGATTAATCTATTTGTATAAATTGGAAAGGATTTTGTTTAGAAGGGTTTTCATAGACAGAAGATGTATGTTTTTAATTGACAGGAACAACTTGACTTTCTACAAACAGCTCATCCCTATAAAGCCACCACTAAACAGTCATGTATAAGAGACGAAATGTTAAACTGCAAACAACAAGACCCTTATTTCCAAATATATACATATTAATCCACGTAGACAGCTTTATGTATACAGGCTTAGTGGAAAACCAACCATACAGATTCAACGGATTCAAACTTTATTAATTAATCTTCACACACCATGATGTTTCAGAAACTGAAACTAATCAAATTCACATTACAATCGGATTAAACGAAACTCAGAATTCCTGGGAAATGTTTGAACATAAAATCGAATACTTTTAAGCAATATTTTCATTTCTTCACAGCCATTTCTACAAACACCTACAAGCCAAAATATTGCAAACACGAATCCCAATTCCCACAACAGAACCCAGCATACAGAATTAACCGGCAACCTTTTTTTTCCTTAAAAATCAACCATTTTGAAAGGGGTTTGCGTAAGAAATGCATAAGAATACCTTGAATCGCCTGAAATACTTCCGTCGTTGTTCGTCAGCAGAATTGTCTTTGCCGAAAGCTTTTATCGTCTGGTCTTTCACTTCCGATGATTAGGGTTTTTTGAAGAATCGATGTGTTCTTCGTTTTGACGTCGTGTTGAAAGCAAGAGAGTTTCACCACTTTTGGTTCGCAATTGGGGTATTGACAGTTGATGAGAGGGCGACACGTCCACATACGCTGGAGACCATTCTCAGCCACAAGTTCGTGGAGTTGGGTAGATGCCACATCTTAATTATTTATACTTATTTACGATTTCTTTTATTCTTTCACTTATTTGTAATACTTAATCGAAATTAAAACAATATTTTATTAAATATATTAATAATACTAGAAGGATATTCGTGTAATGTATTAAGACGCATATTCATTTCAATGTTTTTTTTGTTTTTTTTATGTCGATATAATACAGTTTTATTTGGTTTAGAAAAACGATAATGTTTTTATTTTTGAATTAAATATAAATTTGAAAATATTATAAAATTTTAAAAAAAATATAACGATATATGTATCAAATTAATCTTTTTAAAAGTTCTTGTATTTTGATGTAATTTCCTTAATTCAATTTTTTTAATTATAATTTAATTTATGTTTAATAACTATCCTAATTATATTTTAGATTTTTTATATTTAAAATGAGATGTTTATCCAATATTTAATTATGTTTATCTGCAGTTAGTTACACGAATTCAAATATGGAGCTTTAATAAGTTGTACTTATGCACAATTTACTTCTAATTTTAAATTTTAAGTAATATTCATCAATAAACAGCATTTCGTGCATAAAAAAATGGTTTTTAAGAGTTTTTGTCAAATGCTTTATAATATAGTATAAATAGTTAACGATAAAATAAAGTAGCTATTGGAGTTGAAGGTAATTTTTTTAAAGATTTTAACTTTCGATACTATATTTTATTATAATTATAGCATAACTATTTTACCTGTTATCCTGTTCATCTCCCTCTTCAACAAACGTCCTCAATGGAACTCCAAAATACATCGGTCTGTCAATCGTCACTCAATCGAATCCGACCACTCCTCTTAATCTCGCCCCTCAGATCACGCTCGGGCCTCTTTCAATCGGAAACCTAAATCGGTCCAGTGTTTGACAATCGGAAAATTTGTATCATCTTATTATCTCTCAATCAGGAAACATAATAGATACAAGATCATTCGCAGATTTCTCAACCTAGTGTTGTTCTGAACTTAATGGGCCGGCCCACTAGTGTTTGGTGTTGGTTGGTAATAGCTAAATTGGGTGTGGAGTGGGCTAATAAAAACGTCCTGAACTTGGCCCATATAGAAATCCAACTCCACCAACATCATATAATCAATGCAGTAACTAATGAAGAATTGTCTTATTTTGTTATAATTAATCTGTTTTTTTATATTTATTTATTATAATACCAACATTTTCATTCTTATGGGTTGTGGTGAATGACGTTGAAAATTTAGTTTAAATTATTTAATATGAAGAAATAAATATATAAATTAATTGAAAATACATGCTAAAAGCAGAATAACCCATAAAATGACGTCATTTACGGTTTGCAACATTTTGGAAATTCAACACGAATGGTTACGAGATTGATTGTTTCATTTCATGTTCTTGAAGATATAATGTTTTATTTAACATATAAAAGTATATGATCATAGATTAAATATCTAAGGGTGGTAAAAAAAAATACACATTGTTAATATATTTAAAGTGATTAGTTTTAAAAGACATGTACAAAATTGAAAACCTAATAAAAACGTTAAATATTATAACTATTTAAAAGTATGTATATAAATAGTTTCTAACAAATTAAGAAAATAAGAAAAGAAAAAAAGTCGTTACGTGTAAAATCATACATGATTCATCACGACTTTTTTCGCGACATAATCGCGGCAAAAGTCGTCTGCTTTAATTTTTTTTGACATTAATGTAAATCACATGTGATTTTGTACATTACCAACTTTTTCGTGGTGTCCTAAATAGTTAGTGTTCGTGTTTGAAACTTTTCATATATATACATATATTAAAGAAGTGATCCTAACCTTTAATCTTATTAACATTTGCGGCTTTGATTGTAAAACACCGGATAATTACTCACATGGATATATAGAAGATAGAGAAGTAGTTTCGTAACTTTTACAATTAGACGACAAACGGGTTCAAATGTAAATTAGTTAATTAGGTTATATGTGAATCATACGTGTTCATGTGTGAATCAGTTAAAATAATTCATATATGAAATACACGGATTTAAATATGAACCTATAGTTTATACGTGAATCACACATGTTCACATATGAAGTCGTTTGCCGTCTATTTGTAAAAATTACGAAACATATCCCTTTATTTTTCACATAGCCGCAAATTTTGACCAGTCAATTCTGATCTTGACTTTATAAAGAGCTAGGATCACTTATTTACTTCTCAAATATTTACGACTATATGTTTATATACTTGGGATCATGTGAGAGTAGGTTGTTTTCGTATAATGTTCTATTTTGAAGGTTCGGATTTTTTTTTACCTTCATAATGTTTTGCTATAAAGTTTGAATCGTGAAAAATATGATTTTACAAAAACAGGCTGATCTCACATGATCTCAAATTCGTCTCTCTATATATATATATATATATATAATTTTTTTGCAAGTGATGATGGGTTTTAGCTTTTCTTTCATATTTGGCCGACCAACCAAACTAGAAAATAATAAAAAGATGAAAACAAAGTGAGAGTCAAGAACCTGAAAATCTAAATATTTATTATTCTTTTATTCGCCATTATCTTTTGGCTTATCCTCCATATATATTTCATAACGTGTCAACCGCTTGCTACTATATATTACTTTCTTAACCAAGATTTCTCTACCTATTTAATTTACAACATTATTACTCTATTAATTTAATTACTTAAATATTATACCCTATAGAACTAGGCACCTTAGGAGATCTACACATTCCATTTCCATTTCCATTTCTCAAACAAGACGACAAATTTACCGTATTTCTTTTTCTTATAACTAATCATATGCGACGATTTACTCGGTAAACGCTTATTGGAGAATAATCATCATTATCATTTATTGGGTAAGACTCTATTCTTTTTCTCGCTCTTATCAGGTAAGATTCACGACTTTTATCATACTCATCCGATAAGGTAAATGACACAATAAATACTTATCGGGTGATCGTTTAAACTTGAATAGATTATAAGCATGTTCTTGGAACTCGAATGAGAGTTAGTTAATATATGTTTCCATATATGTACTTATAGTTAATAATATATATAGGGAGAGAATTTGTTTCCACATATTTGTAATATTAAATAAAAAATGTAAACTTATATTGAAGTATGGGATTATATTGGAAGCCATTTTAGTGGGAAATGAAGTATTCAGGGAAAAAAAGGGTCCAAAGTCAAGTAACAATTTAGGACCACAAATTTCCACGCTGTATTGGAGTTGGCTCAAAACTTTTTCTTGGAATTCATCATCCATCCCAACTTTTGACTTTTACATTTTATTAAGTTAATAGATATGTCACATCCATTCAATCAGTTTACGTATCAATCACCATTTTCAAAACATTTAACAAATAATATATCATTATTATAATATATATTTTTAGGTCGTATTTGATACGTAAAGACGTGATTGAATATAAATGTTGGACAGAACTGGAGTATATTGGATGTGATTTGACAAATTCTATTAAAAGTTATTTGATAATTTTATATATTATATTTATAATTAACACAAATAAAGTAAATAATAAATAGTTTATTTTAAAAACATGTTTACACAATTTTCATATACATAAATATATAATAGTATCAAATTTGAATGAAAGATTTGATATAATTGATGGTAGTTTAAAAATCTCAATTCGTACAAATGAGAAATTATGTTTTATTCGGTTAGCGATGTCATGGTGAAGATTGTTGCAACAATGGTTGTAGAGGTAGAAGCATTAGTAATTGGTGACAATGGTGACTGTAGAGCACGTGAAGATGGTGGATGGCGGTGGTGGCGATCGACAATGGTGGAGGTAATTGTGGCCAATGTGGTGGAAGTCAACGGTACTAGTGGTGTTGGAGATGTACAATGATGGTCGGTGGCCAATGGTGGTTGTGTAAGACGTGAAGACTGAAGATGGTAGATAGTGATAGTAGTAGCCGATGGTGGTAGTTATGGTAGAGGTGAAGTGGCCCATGGTGGTAATGGTGGCGTCAATGAACAATGGTGGTCAGTGGCCAACTGTGTTGTGGATGTGATGGAAGAGGTTGTTGTAGTAGAGGCAAAGGTGGTTGTGGTCGGTGGCCGGCGAATGTGAAACAGTGAGTTCTTGTCCTCTCCCTTGTTGTACCAAACATGGGATAGAGAGTTTTGTTCCATCATGTCCTACCTGTCTCATGTATCAAACACACGATGATCCAAACTTTCTCCATTTTACATATATAAATTTCTAGAGCTTTATGAAGCCAAATTTACCTATGCCCTCCTCGACTACCTTATCCCATATTCGCTTCTGACTTCTTTTTTGCATAACATGCACTCAATAGAATTATTTGTAAATTGAATAAATTCTATATATATCAAAACTAAAACACAACAAAAAGTAAAAAAAAAAAACTATATATCTGTATGTAGAGGGGGTTGGGATTTAAAAACCACCCATTCCCATTTTTAACATCTGTAAAGTTCGTTTGATCCAAACGATATTTAACAGAGGAGAGCGAGATAGTCAGGTGAAAGAAAATTTGAAATGTTTTACGGTTTCAATTCGACATTAATGATTTAATCATGTATTGATATTGTCTTATTTCTATTACTTTTGTTCCATCTATTTTGATGTTTTTATCTATTAGTTTTTGTAATATCTAATCTCAAGCACTGTTAAGGTCTCATATGTGAAGAAAACACCGTGAAAACCTGCTACACCGTATTCTCTACTTCTAAAAGACTGTATATGTAAAGGTTCGTTTGGTACGTTCATATCTTACTTTTATTTATAATGTCATTGTTTTATTTGAAGTACATCAGAAGGTGTTAAACAAAAGAATTTCGTCTTAAAATATAAAAATGTTTCTGAATATTAGAGTTAAATAAGTAACACAAGTATTTTCACTTTTATACACCATAAATCATTCCATAAAGGTTA